ATTCACTATAGTTAACTAATTTCAGTTAGTTATTAGTGAATGTACAAAGCTGGCAGAGGTTCCTCAAGGACTGATAGGGATGTGTATGCACATACCCATGTTATATGTATGTAATGTATGTACACATATGTGTATATACATGTAGCTGTATCTCTCTGTATAATGGAGGGAGAGGCACTGAAATACAGTAAGCATGTAAAGGTAATTTCTCTAGTTCTTGTACTTGAATGTTCCTTTTCTGTTCCCAATCTACACCTATCTTTTTCCTTTGATAGATATACTTACAGATTTTTTTTCAGCTCTGTGGCCATTAATAAACTGTAATGTCTGCCAGTGTGTTGCTCCTACTGTATGCACATATTTATCCTTAGTTGTAATCATGAGTAAAGATCAATGTATTTATTAGGGTCTTGGATAACGGGACTACTTGATAAAGCAAATAGGTGATGCTCAGTGACTCCAGGTAGATTGTCCAATCCCTTTTGTCAGTGATTTTTCCAACTTTTATGTGTTCCTTTAAAAAGTTGAGTACTTTCCTAAAAGCTTAGGATTGGAAGAAGCCTTTGGATAGACTGAGTTCTGTACTCTGCTGCTGTAGGCAACAGCCTGATCTCCTTTGTGATTCTGTCCTGGGAACATTTAGGTCTCGTGCTGTTACTGTTTGGAAGGTGGAACTATTTCAATAACTTTCAATAGCATTAGAAATAAAATATGATTTATCTAGGGAGGGAAAGGCCAGCTATTCCCTATGCTCAATGGAGTTATAATGCATCACGTCCTGTGCACCATGCAAAGATGTCAATTTCACTTGTAATTGCAGAAATGTTCATCCTGAGTACAGGAATGTGGCTCTTTGGGTGTAGCAAATTGGGTAGCAATCATGGAGTATGGCATGGAGTATTCTCTGCTCTCTATTGCTGTGGGAATCCATCTGCAAGCACATATCCATAGCATATGTGAAAATGAATGCTGGAGAAGACCTCTATCTTTAGAGCATATGCTTCTCCCCAGTAAAATGAATAGAGGATCAGAGATTTAAAAAATGAGTCACTGTGACTCACTACAGTATATCCATAATAAAATCTATCTAAATTTGGTAAGGAACTCTAGGAACTAATTGCCCTAGTTACTTACCCCTTTTATTTTTTTTTTAGATGTTTTTCCCTTGCTCCTCTAGCAATTACGTACTGTATGTACAGAAATAAGATTTCAGTAATGACTGTTGTGTGGTATTCTAGATTAAGGACTTCTCCTGCAAAACTGATTGGTGTAATATTTTCTATTATCTCCTTCAAAAACTGCAATGAAATTAGCAATAACAAAAGCTCTCCAAATGCTTTGGATTTTAGTGGTCTTATATTGTGTTAGAAAATGTGAAAAAATTATTTAAAATGTCAATAGCATATAATAAATTTAGATTATCAAACCTGGTTTCTATTGGGAATAGATCACATTTACTATAAGTCACACATTTGCTACTCTGAAATTACAGTTACTCAAAATTTCTAATCTAAAATCTTAACTAGATAATAACATTGTTAGCAGCATTAAAGTATGCAGTCAGTTCTTTTGGTAGAGTTTCTAGCACATTTAGGATTAATTAAATTTAATTCCTAAACATCAAGTTGGCAATTAAACCAGAGGTGTTGAAGGTCCTGAATGCTGAACTTTTAAAACAAATTTTTGCCACTATTCCTTGTATAAAAAGGAGCTCAAAGAAAACATAAGACTGACTCAAAAGCTCACAGCTTTGTGGAAAGCATCCTGTTTAGGGGCAGATTGTTGGCCTTTACATTGTGCTTAATAAATATCTCGGGCCAAGTTTTATTCATGAAAGATCCTATCCTGTGTAAGAGAGTGGTTTAGAAGCTGATTAATACCTGTGATACATTTTTTTTCAAGAATAGAACGACCAAAATTTGTTTTTTTTATAGAATTAAAAAAACCCACAACCAACCAAAAAACAAACAAAAATAATTAGACAATATAGAAAGGCTGTGTGGGCCACAAATGGTCTGCAGACAACTTATTTTTGTGTACCAGCATTCTCGCTCTTTTGAGTACAAGATAAAACAGTTCAGACTTTCAATACCTGTGTGAAGATGCTAAGTAGAAAGCAGAGGACCATAAAGGCAGAAGTAAAAATAGGTCCTCTGTGACTTGAAGATGTTAGTGAAAGTAATGATATCTTTGCATTTATGGGTTAGTAGTAAAATTCCTCTTTGTAGAGGGGTAATACAAGCTTATGCGTTATTTAAATGTGCTATCAATGGGACATGTTTTCATATGCTTTACATTTGAGCCAACATAAAAGCCAAAAGTCATCTTAATACTTAGGGCAATCCTTCCTTTCTATATCTCTTCTTCAGCACGCTAAGTGTCTAAAATGAAATTGGAAATACTCAAAGCAGTTGTGGACTCAGCACCTGTAGTCAGATGTTAAATGTAAATTACAGCATCATCTTTAAAATGACCTCATAAAATAACATTTGCTGTGTGTTTAAATGAGTTGAATTTTCAGATTACAAATTTGCTTCCTTATGAGGCTGTTATCAGAAGGCATAGAAAAATCATTGTCTCACTTTCATTTCTCATTATAAAGCAATAAGTTTATTTTAGAAGTTACTAATTTGTATCTAATTGAGATGGATGGAGGCTCTAGTTTATCTTGTTTACATTCAAATGTAGTCTTGGATGTTTTAGCAAGTCTAAACAAAAGACAGAATCTGAATGAAAATTTTCAAGTTTTAACAAGATTCTTATTTAAAATAGAAAAGAAAGAAAACACAACAAAGTAACTGCTGTCACTTTGCCCATAATTCATGTTGCAAAGTCAGCTTGTGTGTCTAATCTATAAAATGGTGTGTTTACCTCAAATCTCTGCCAGACTGAACAGGGCAATTTTAAGACAGGTAGTAGCATTCTTAGTGGTGTTAGCTAAAGCATTCATGTTATTTGAACAACTAGTTCTCTTTCTTTTCCTAAATTCTGTCTAGCAATTCATTCTGGTATGATGCAAACTTCATTTGGTATGATCTGTGAAACATGAGCAGTATCTAAGTGTTTAAAAATTGATGTTTTAGGGCTGATAAGTGCCTTCCACTCTTTAATGGTCATCATTAGCCTCAGCAGCTCCCAGCTTTTGAAGATGAAGATTTTTTCAATGTTATCCTTGATTTTTTTCCTTCACTTCTTTCATAATACTGTTAGGCGTTGCTGGCAAGCACACTTACTTCATTGTTGCATTTTGCCTCAGGGTGAATGAAATTATGGCTCTGTGCATTTGATTTATACCAAAATGAAAACAAAATTTTGACAAATCTGTACTATTCTTGTTTAGGTGGAAGGGACAGAGTGAAATCTCCAACCAAATGCATCTCCTTGCATTGCTATAATGGAATATTTTATTTACTGCTCTTCCAACATAAGATTTTTTTTTTAAAAAAGCTGATATAATCCATCTAGGGGCATTGTATAATTTGCCCAACTGGAAACGGGACTGGTGACTTAGAGTGCAGCTGCAAGGTTATATTAAGTAGAAGCCAGTGTTTTTCTGCAGAATCTCAAATGGGATTCTTCTAAGCTGTGTAACAACAGAGGGGTGATTTGTCATACTTGCTTCTCCCCATAAGCTTTGCATATGAACGAATAAATGGTTTTCCTGTGATTGTTTAATTGTTCAAGGGTTGATGCTTCAGGCTGGTGAGCTCCACTGATAAACATGTTCTTAAGCTGTGACCTTGACACTCCGAATAAGTGTAACATCATCCCTCAGCTGTCAAGTTTAGGTTTTAGGTATGCATATTTATATACCAAATAGTTCTGGAAACGACTGCTGATTTCTTTATGAAGTGGGAAGGGTCTGCCTACTCATCTTGGGACTGGAATCTTTAGGAGGATCAGTCTATCTCTTTAAACAGCAAAATATATTTCATGGAAAATTTTGCCTACCGCTTTTAGAAGATTAATTATTTATTTTGTTTTATGAAAAAGTGTCATTACAGCTGGATGTTTATTAAGTAGTTGAAATAACACTCTACTAATTGAGTATTTAATATGTGTTTACTTTGTTTGCATACTTTCTGTCTCAGTAAAATAGCTAGGGGGGAATTTATTTGTGTGTGAATGTAAGTGTCCCATATATATCTGCATGTTTTTGAAATAAAACTAATTTGGAAAAAATGTTTTTTTTGAGAAAAAAACTAATTAGAAAAAATGTTTTTTAAGAAAAAGTCACTAACAGAAGGTAAATTGTTTTATTGCTAATTTTTGCTTCAGGCACTAGGATGACATGCTTTTTCAGTTTTATACTGAGGTCTCGAGAGATACTGTATTTGTTAAATTGGTATTAATTAAAAATGAGAGAGCAATTTGGTCAGTTTAGACTTGATTAGAATCTCCAGAAAACCTCAGATAGCTCTAATGTGGAGAGAAGAATCTAAAGCTGCTTTGTATTCCTTTTGCATTCACTAGCAAAGCAACTTTCCTATGAAATTTCTATTTTTTAATAATTTGAAACTCTCAGGGGTCATTTTGAATATGAGTATTCAATCTGAGTATTTAAATTGTGTGCAGAGCAGGCCGCTTTATTTGAAGTCAGCAAGAGGTGATGATTTGATGAGGAGTCTGACAGTCTCTGAAATTACAGTGGGGGAATAATTTGAGGGAGTGTTGGATAATCTGTGCAGGGCTTCCTGTTTGCAGCTTCTGTAATGAAGTTCTGTGTTCCAGTGTTCCCTGTGATTTTACTGAAAGTGTGCAATGCCTTCCAAAAAGGCCTGACGGTGAGAGATTGTGCATTTCCTGACAACTGTGGCAAAATAATTCCAGCTGTTCTTGAGAGGCACCTAATGCTGGGCCAAAAATTGCCATTTTGTGTGTCTTTATGGTTTAAATGCAGTGATATTTATTTGGCAGTGTTGTTTAACTGGTTCTTGTTGAATAGCTGTTAGCACAACATGCAGTTTCGGTAATGCTGTTTTTGTTTGTCATCTTTTAAGGTTGTGCTGGTGAGATGGAATGAACCATTCCAGAAATTAGCAACCTGCGATGCAGATGGAGGAATATTTGTTTGGATACAATATGAAGGCAGATGGTCTGTGGAGCTTGTGAACGATCGTGGGGCACAGGTTGGTATGCATGTTTTCTCTGCAGTCAAGAGTGACCAGGTCTTGAGAGGCCAAATGAAGAGGACAAGGAATGAGACTTTTTACCTTTCAAAAAGCACAGGAGAAAATGAAACATTTCTTTATTGGAAGGAACGTGCAAGAATTGTCACAAAGGCACTTGACAGGCTTTCTCCATTATGCATGACATCAGAGCTTCAGCTGGGCTAATAGTTGGCCTGCCTCATTCTGTGCCCTGCTGCCTTTTATTAAAATAGCAGAAAAATCCTACATGGTTGATACATCTCTTTTCTTGTCTTTGATATGTTAAGGTAAGCGACTTTACATGGAGCCATGATGGGACTCAGGCACTTATCTCCTATAGAGATGGATTTGTGCTGGTCGGTTCAGTCAGTGGACAAAGACACTGGTCTTCAGAAATAAACTTGGAGAGTCAGATCACGTGTGGCATATGGACTCCAGATGACCAACAGGTAATGAAAATGGGGCATTTAGGAGTGTCAGTTGGGTTGCATTGGTATGCTATAGAATACACTTCTTAAAAAGTTACCAAGTAAAATGGTCTCGTGATAATGTCAGTTTCCATCAAAACTGCTGCTCCCACTGAGAATGAAAATTTTGTTAATCCTGTTGTTCTTATAAGGCAAACATGATAGTGTATCAAGTTCCCTGTCATCACTTTTCACCCTGATACACACACAGTCTTACTCCAAGTTAGTTGTTTGAGACAGGAATATGTTAATTGACCTTTAATTTGTTGTTACAGCTATCTTATAAATGCATTTGAGCAGAGATACAGCCTGGACTATTAAACATCTGACTGGTCATTTCTGTATGGATTTTTCCAGTCTACACAGGCAGCAAAAGCAGCTCCAGCAGCACATATGGTTATGTTTTGCATTCACATAAGCAAATGTATGTAATTGAGTGTTGAAGAGATGTCTCAACGTGTCGGAACCCAGGACATCCCTCTGGCTGCCCTGGCTGTCTGGAGACCCTGGCAGGGGGCTCAGAGACCTTGGCATGAAGTCAAAACTCTTGTGGCTTCCATTTTAGCCTGTGGAAAAAACTGCCAACTTTATGTGAGGAATTCCAAGACACAAGTGTTTGAGTAGTGTGCTAGTTGAATTAACAAAGAGTGAAAAAGTAGAATTTTGGGGCTTTTTAGAATGGGGTTCAAGGAGACAAGATGGAGGGATTTGGGCGTGTCCTGACTTTCTCCTCTTCTTGCCCTCCATGTCTTGCTGTGATGGTGATACTTTTCTATTGGTTTAAGGTAGAGACACGCTCTCTAACATAAATGATAGATATTGGCACATTATTGTAAACATAGTACATGTAGTTTTTGGTATAAAATGTAAACACCGCCCTAGAGGGCAGACAGAATGCCATGGGTGACTTGCTAGATGGAGCTCAGCAGATCAGAGAAAAAATGTTATAGGTAAGAAAAAAATAAACAACCTTGAGAAGTCAACCCTACACATTCAGACTTCTTCTTTGGCTGCACAGGCTGGGAAACAAGGACTTTTACATTCTCAGGGTCACCTTGACACCCAGACTCCAAGATCAACCTTATGCAAATAAAATTTAAAAGAGTAAGATTTGCTGAGCTTTGAAAAAGCCATTTTAAAAAAATCTTCTCTACCATTTTTCTGCAGAATTATACAATACTGGACACAGCAGCATTTCCAGCATGGCTGTAGCTGGGGTGCTGGTTTCATTTGCAGGATTTACACTGGTCCCTTGCTTTTCACTGCAGAGCTGACTGGATTGGTGTTTCTTTCCAGATGCTTGCTGTCATTGTGGTTGTGTATGTGTGTATAATTTAGTGCTGAAGGAAATTATGGTCATAGAATAGTGCAAAGAGAAACCCTGCTAGGATCACAGCTGGATTGTTTTCCTTCCTTCATTTTGTACCATCATGGAAAGATTCTGCTACAAGGCTCAAGGTACCACTCAATTTAGACTTCTATAAATTCATCCAAGGTAGAGTTATTTTGGGAATTGCTAGTGGAATATAATAACACTAATAATATACATTTCTGCAGCAGCATCTAATAATTTTAGAGTGCTCTGCATAGAATAATGAATTAATTATTGCAAAACTGCTTTTTAAAGCCAGGGAGCCTGCATGCCTCTTTTTGAATCTAGGGAAATGCAAATCTTGACAATAAATAATTTACTTGAGATCAAGAGGAAGAGACAAGCAGCAGAAGTAGGAGGGGAAGCTAAGATCTAATAGCTCTCAGTCCTATGTTTTAAACATGAGGCTACCCCATTTATGTGATGCTCAGTTTTTGCTACTGTATTTGGAAATATCTTCACTTGAGTGTTTAATTTGGAGTGGCTGACTGCCTTTAATTCAGTTTAGCCAATATGTTTGTGCTTTCTAATCTGGATGCTCCATAAGTGGTTATTCCAGGAGACAAACACTTGTTTAGCATCCAGATAAATGCTTTCGAACATAATGGCCAATTCCAGCTATGTGAAAATGACTTGCTTAACTTACAGACTCTGCTGCTGACAAACTCCCTGAAATAGAGACCCAAACCAGCCTCGAGTTTGATGTTGCTCTGTACAGTTCTCCCTAACTGTGTGGTTTGCAGGGGTTGTGTCTAAATGATGATAGATCTTTGTCCTATTCTCTGGAGCTGGTGGAAAGAAGCGATGTTCTAAAATATATTTAGATGTACTTGCCTCTGGAGGCACGAGGAAACATGAATCACAGAGGTGCTGGGTGAGAGACTATGCTCAGTTAAAATTAAAAATAGCAAACAGGGGGGAAGGACGTTGCATACATTACACATAAATAAGTGTTTGTGGAAATGGATACCCTTACTAGCTTATTGCCTTACCCAAATTTTCTCCTGACTGTTATGTGTGCAAATGAGAACAGAATACTATTCTAGTCTAGAGTAGCTTCAGCATCTTCCCTATTGTTTAATGTACTCTGCTTGTCAGTACAGTGACTGAAAGATAAATGTTGATATTTAAATTTAGATTTTTCTACTGTTCTTTGTGTTACACTTCTAGCACCTTGAAGGTTGCTAGTGAAAGTATTATATTCCACAGTCCCATGACCTTTAACACAATTATCTTTAAAATTTACATTTCCAGGGGGATTATATTGTTCAGGATCAATTTTCTATTGTCCTGATAAACTTGTTCAGTGTAGTGTGTCTGTTCGCTTCACTCTTCGGTTCTCTTGACTTTCTCCTTCACTCCCTTATGCATGCATCCTGGTGGTTTCTCCCATCTCCTCCATCTTTTCTCCTGTATATTCAGCACTAGTAGGCTGACACCTCTGTCATTCCTTGCTATGGATGGCTCTGTGGCATCTCTGCAAGAGGAGGGTAATTTCCTACCATATCCTTTCTGTTGGAGACAAGGAAAGGTTGGAGCTGCAATATTGGCACCATCTTTTTGCTTGACAGTGTGTGTGGACTCTGGGTTTGTGTTGTTACTGTGCTTGAAGTAAAGCACCTTTGAGGTAGTGGCTAATCTGTAGAGATGGGATGAGAACTAGAGAGGTGGCCAGGGTGGACTACAGTCCTGCTGAAATTGAGCATATAATTGTATCTTTTAACTGATATGGTACATACTCTGCCCTGATTGAGCTGTCAGCTGATTTTATTAATACTAGCTAAAATTGTTCTGCATTTTCTTTTAGGAAGAGAGTGTTACCATTCTTCTTGTGGCTCAGTTGTTTTTCAGGTTTTTTGAGCTCTCCTTGTTTGTCAGGGACAAACTTATTTTGAGTCACATGGTTGACTGCAGTGCTTTTTTTCAGCATCATCTCTCTCAGATGAACTTCTCATGAAGGTCATTGGCAAATTTCTGCTGTAGTTCACACCCAGATCTTGAGTATGGACTTGGAGCTGTGGGTTTCTTTGGCTAATTCAGTACATAGGCCTTTTGAATGTGGTTCTGCATGTTCATTTTGGAGGACTAGAAGTCAGTTTTCTCACCTCACTGTGTGTCTGTAGGTCCACTCATTCAGGCATTTCCTCCTCCTGTACCCTATAACCAGAGCACACATCTAGCCAAGACACGGCCCCACTGCCTGTGCTGTCTGACTCTCAGGCAGAGTTCCATACTTGGATGGGATTACTCAGGAGTGGGACTTTCCTTGCAGTTTTTAAATTGTTTTTTCAGGGCAACAAGAGGCTGTAGGAGTCATGTGGAATATTTTTCTGGTGAGCAGGCTTACCAGATCATGTAGGATCACAATCATGTAGGGATGAAAAGTATATTTGAAATGAAAAATAAATTTGAAATATCAGAGAATGATGTGTCTTGAGACAGTTCTGTGGCATTTTTCTATGCTTGTTTTCTAAGAGGGAGTGTACATAGCAAGCAGATTGAGGACTTTATAAGTGAGAAAATCATGACTTTTGTCTAACCAAAGGGTTTATTTATAATTAAAGAAGCAATGTCAATAAGTAATTGAGGATTTTTCCTAAACCCACAAGTTGTACAAAACATTTTTCCAGTGCTTTTTCTCCCTTCCTGTGTGTTTGCTGAGCTTGCAGTGACATTTTTTCTGTCAACTTCCCTGCCCTCAGGGCCACTCTTTCCCTCTTTTTCTCCCTATACTTTACCCATTAAAGAGATTATCTCTCTTCATGATGGAGAAAGACAGTGTCAGAGAACTGGGTGAGAACTCTAGAGGATTATCCCTTTGTTTATAGCAATATAGTGTAACTCCTTGAACTTCCCTGGGCTTGTTGCTGTTTCTGTGTGTGAAAAGGGAAATCATTCTCCAACAGAGGAAACCCTCAATGAAAATGAGTTAATGTATTTTAATTCCTGGGTATCCCAGGAGGTGCTAGTAACCTATATTTGTTCCCTGCATCTCTGCTACTACAAATTATTAGGGTTTTCTGACAGCTGTAAGGGCCCATTTCTGGTTTCCCCCCCGCTCCCATTTTTCTGTTGTAAGCTTTTATTTCTGGAAATTCAGGGACTGGACAGGATTCTGGCTAGAAAATGACAGGTATATATATACATGCAGGTATATGTGAACTTTGCCAGCATGCTTCCTTCTGTTTGCTTTGAAAATAAGTATATAAACAGGTAGGCTAATTTGATTTACATCCTGCTGGGTACAACATTAACTGTTGTTCGTGGCCCCATTGCAATGCAACATTCACCAGTACAAAAATGAGTAAATACAGGCCCCAAGGTTCAGCCTCTTGTGTGCCTAATCAGACAAAATGAGAGTCTTGGTGAAACAGGAAAGCAGCGGCGTGTTAGGAACAGATACCCTGTGCACTGAAGGGTCCTGTAATGCCCTGGAAGAGAACAGTGAGACCCGCAGCAGATGAATTGTGTGGTATCAAACACAACGCAGGGTGCAGGAGCTCTGTATGTTGTTTTTTTCAAAGTCTCTTGAAGCTTGCAGTAGCTGTGCAGGGAGGCAGTTTCTAGGCTGCTACTCACTCCTGCTCCCAGCACTTGCCATCCTATTCCC